GCTCTGTGATCTTTGTCATCACAGGAATCACTTCAACCACTACCATTGATTTTTTCTCTGGTACAGACTTTACTATTTTGAAAACCTAGTAACAAAACCCAACAAGAATACCAAACTATCTTGTTGAAACCTTCTGGCGTAAAAACTAGAAGAGAAAATCGGAGTGAATTTCTAACAGACGGCTAGAATCAGAAACCAACGACGGCATGTGGCAGCCACTCGTGGGGACTCTCCTAGTGTCGGCTGTGGGATCACATTGTTACCCTATATAGGTGACCTAGGTTTAGGTGTAAAAGAGAAACTAAGAACTCTATTTCAAAGGAAACAAATCTGCCAAAACTTCTCTGATACCATGTTATTTAGGAAGAGAAAACTCCACTTTTCATTCATAATACATCACCTCTATATACAGCCTACACATCTCTAAAATAGGAAAAGAATAAAGAAAATAAAGAAAATAAAATCCTTACAATTATGATGATTCCCAATCCCTATAATTATGGTGATTCCCAATCCCTATAATTACATTTATTAATAAAAGAACATTTACACATTCCTATTCTATAACACTTTCTTTCAAGATTTTCCTTGTAGTTGTACTTGATTACTTTGAATGCTCTGAATTTTAGATTGCTTACCATATTTAGATCCCACGCCTCTTACCTCATAAAGATCTACTAACTTCTGAAGTTGCTGAACCAATTTTCCAATTGTCTCATTAGTTCCAGGAACAACAGTTGTAATGCGAGAAAGCTCATCTCTTTCAGCAGGCCCCACAGCTAGACTCTGGGATAAGTATTACATGAGCAACTCACCAAAATTAGAAGGCACAAAAAATGCATCACAAAGGCAAAATCAAGCTGACCTGAATATTATAGCCTCTTCGGGAAATAACACCAGTAACCACATTGAGAACACCAGGAGTGTCGTTCACAACCATAGATAAAGTGTGTGACTGAAGCCCACTTGACTGAAACATTGAATGATACACATAAGGAATACATGTGAGAAGCAAACGTACAGAACAAATTGTAGTACTGATGTAAAGTACTGATTCTGCCATTCCTGACTTTTGTAGTCAACAGTTGCAGTACAACAGCAACTAATTCTACAGACATTATTCAAAAATCAATTTACTAGCAAGAAAGGTCAATAAAATTACCCATTTAAATACCAAAACTGAAATACATAAGTCTTATGATACTGAAATCACACCACAATGACTAAAAAATATCTTAATTGACAACTAATGGACTGACCAGATACATGGTCTAAACCAAGAAGCAAAGATAAAGCTAAGCAAGACATTATGCAACTAATGGAAAAGCTCGCAAACAGCTTCACATCACTCAGGACAACTGACTTACTCAGAGAAATGAATGATTACCAAAGCTGAAATTTAGAAGACAAATCTATGTACCAAACAAAAAGATTTAGAAGACTAAATACTAATGTAAAGAGCCATCAGAGATAAACAAGTATCTTACATCTTCATCATAGAGAACCCCCCAATGAGCATCAAGAACTTGATTAATTGGGAAGTCATCATAAGGTTCCACAGGATATACATCACCCTTCATACAAGAAATAAAACTTGAGATTATCCAATGTTCTAAGACATGATCCATGCTGAAAGTATGAAAATTTGATCAATTAACAGTGTAGAAGAAGTATGATCCAGATTGAGTAAATTATGAAAACCAAATTATTCAACTCTGCTTGCCAACTTTTAATTTTATCCTTAGATGGAACTTTGGACATATAAATCAGCAAATATTCAGTAAGCCAAAATCTAGCAAATGTTGTTAACATGCAAGCAAACATATTCGTAATCCAGCTCCAATCTGTATTCCATCTTTTAGAACAATCTGCTAGGTTTCAGAATCCAAAAATAAAAAGTCATCACGTGGCTCCAGTGTTCATTTGGTGCAGAGAATAATGGAGGCAATAGGATAAAATAAGATTAGGAAGTGTATTGGATATGGTAAAATCATCCTATCTTATGCTAGGTGTGTGCAAATACTAAGAGCAGCTTATAATTATGTTCATCGATCCTATGTTCGGTGTGTGCAAATACTAAGAATAGGTTATAATTATGTTTATCAATCCTATGTTCGGTGTGTGCAAATATTAAGAGTAGGATAGAATTATTTTCTATACTATCAAGTGTATTCCAGATTAAGAGTAGGATAGCAGATTTTTGTTACCCCCTATACATATTGTCCTATCCTATGAGATTAAAATAATTCTCCGCTTTCCCTTGGGATTGAACATCCTATCCAAGGAGGCTGACTACTGTCCTCCAGTTAAAGCGAACATAAAAAATGGGATAGCATGATTTGTATCCTATCCTATCCTATCCATTATCCTGCACATCAAACGTACCCTTAAATCATAATAAAGAAAATTTTACATAAGTATTTAGCATATCCAAAGCAACCTCCAAATTAGTTCCATAAAGGTACATATTAATGTTTAAACCTTGAGATTCGAAGACAACCCAGCTCATCTTTCTCCCCATTTTGTTCAGTGTGTAGTTTTACTAGGTTAGTTATTCTGACAACCTCAATTAAGCTTCTTTCCAGGCATCATCAATAATTTGGCATTTAAGTTCTAAAAGTCAATTCCATACAACTAGGAAAAAATGGTCAAATACAACTATAGACCCAGAGCACTTTTTGCATGTAAGAGGGGGAAGGGGGAATGAGAGAAAAAGCTAGAGATAATGTGAGAAAAAATGGAAATGAGAGTGAAAATGCTCAGGCTAGTGTGAACTGGTAATCCTCCTAGGTGTTGGAATATAAATATAAAAACCTTCCATAAGTGGAGATAAATTTATATAGCCCCATATAATGAGCAAAATGACTTCTGGTGGAAGAACAAAACTAAAGGAGGCATCGAACAGAGAAGAGCATGCAAAACCTTCCTAGTATAAATAAAAAGTGCATACCTTTGAGTATGTATGGGCATCACCATTAAGTAAACGATTGGCATCCCTTATAGAACCACCATTAGTTGATCTGCCGTCAAGATCTGGATAAGAGGCTGCAGAAAATCCCCAAAAAGGAGCTGTCTGACCCAACTTTTCACGCCTCAAAGCGATCTATCATGATTGTCATGTTCAAACCTCAGCAAACATAATGGTTTGATAGCTTGATAAGAGACCTCAAAAGTCTTATCTTCATCCATTGGTATAATTTAATAATACTTTAATATCACAGTGACAATAAGGTTACAAAAAAATGATATTAGAGTAATATGTGGGAGATGAAAATCAAAGGAAATCTTTTTGCTCTCTCTCTCTCTCTCTTGCAAAGGCAGATAAATAAACATGGTCAAATACAAAATAATTATACCGTACAAAGCCACACTTGATTAACACATACCATAACTTCATTTAAGACACATTTACAAATTACATCTACAACACATGCCAAGGAGAGGAAACATTGTCGACATAATCTTTCAACCATCCCCCCCAAAGGCACCTTTCCCAACTTCTTATTTTGCTCTGATAGCAAAATTAAATCCTCTAAAAGGCAAAGCAACCCAACTCAAGTCTAAAGTAACATCTAACCAGTTTGGGACAGCAACAATAATCATTTAGCCCTGCTCCCTATGAAATGATTAAACATGAAAAATGCATTAAAGAACAGCAAAGAGAAAGGAAAGCATGACTAGTCCTTCGAAACAAAACAACAAAAGAAAAATTCAGCTCTTGACATCAAAATAAGCCAAGCATATTAAACAAAAGAGGAAGATGATCCAAATCATTTATAAGGAGAAAGAACAGCCCACACAAAGTGGGATTGCAGAAAGCACATGTTTAATGTTTTAAACAGATTATGCTACTTCCCTCACTATGTGTAGGATGTAAATCAAATATTAATTTAAAAACAAGAAAGAAATTCTGATTAACAAATTCTCCAAGGTTACTTCCCCTTTCTCACTTTCCAACAATCTCCATTATTGGAATAAAGAAAGCAATCCCTTGATAAAAATAAAAGAATAAAATTCCCAAGCTGAACAGTGTGATATATAAAAAAAAAAAAAGTCAATCCACTCAATTCACCACATCAACAATGAACAGATGAGCAAGTTTTCAGATCTATGGTCACCTCAGGGATGTTATCAACTCTTTACCAAAAAAAAAGAACAAAATAAAATGATAGCATCACAATGCAAATTAATAATAGTCCTGCACACGAATTTACAATTTACAGAGTTGGCACCATCAACTCCACTGGACATTCAGAACAACTTGTATACAAGGTTGTTTCTCCATCAAGAGTTTTGAAGCTCAACAATGGTCCCTTGAATCCTTACCTTGCTCATTTCTGTTCGATCCCATGGATGAATTATTTTGTACTCTAAGAAAATGATTGAAACAAGTTCATGGATGCTTATTTCTCCCTATTTTGATGTAGTTGTTTTTCTATTAAAATATCAATTTCATACCTTTCCAGTCCTTGAAAGTTCTTTTATCCCAAACTTGCTCAAATTTCTTTGTACAGCAGCCATCTTTCCAGGGTCTCCAGTGACCTAAGATGTGCACATGGATTAAGATCACAAACAAACGAGAGAAAAATCAAAATAGATCAATTTTGCTCATTAAGATTGTATTTGCATTGTAAGACTAATGATAAATCAATGTCCATGAATACATATTTAAAAATGAATTTTGTTTAGTTAGATGAAAGCCACTAATTACATCAAGAAAAGGAAAAAGAATGAAAGTTGACCTATTATTACAATCAAGGAATTTAAAAAATGCACTCTATCATCTGGCTCATTGGTTGATGCATGATCTCTTTCTCAAAAAGGGTAAGTTAGAAACTTTCTTCCCCAAATATATATATAAAAAAAGATTTAAAAAATGACACATCTTAAGGTTTGATTCAAAATGAGAAATTTGAGTCTTCAAAATCCCTCATCCAAATACTAAGAATTTTAAATTCCATTTTTTATTTTCCAAACAAAGTAGTTTTAATTTTAAATTTTGAAATCCTTTCTACCAATGATATCCCTCTATCTTTTATTTTGCAAAATACACACTAAAACTCAAAATAGAAAACCAACAACCTTTGACTTAAAAACGAAACCTAATAGGATAAAAAATACCAAACTAGGATACTAAACCCAAATATAAATGTAAAAGGGTAATGTCATATTTAGTCCTGTGATTAAGAAAATGTCTAACGTGATACTTTTACTTAAAAAAATGTACAATGTTGTGCCTGAACTTTAATTCTATTTATTAGGTTAGTTCCATTGTTAACACCTTTAACTCAATCTGATTAGGTGGCATTGCACCAGTAGTAAAATGCCATATGTAAAATAAAGATTATGGAATATTGTTTGAATTTCCATGTGAAGACACGTGGCAACCTTCCATTAGTAGATAAAGGTTTTCAATAAAAATTTTTTTAAAAAAATCTCATTTCCGATTGAAAATGTTTGTTCTTTTTTGCTTTCTTTGCATTTTCTTTCCCTTTCCTTCTTTTTCTCTCTTCCCAATGCCTGCCCTAGCCGTTGCGATCAGGCCTTCCTACCACTATTTTAAGTTTGGTGTCCTCTCACTTATAGACAAAAGATCATAATGAACAAGCTTTTTTCCTTTCAAGTTTTTATGGAATCACTTTCCTACCACTATTTCTCTTTTGTTTTTTTCAAATTCATCCAATCTAATGATTTCTTCCTTTTGGGGATTTTTTAGGAAGAAGAATGAAAGAAATAAGCGGGTTTTGGCTGTCTACTGTCTCTTTTGGGTTTTATTAATATTTTATAATAATTTCTTTACCAATAAACTTGACCATAAATCCCCAAAAGTAAAGACCCAATTATTTTATCACATGTCAAACATGTGTGTGCAATAAGTGTACATATTAAATGGTACCATGATTGCATCACATAGTTTAGCATCATGTCAATTTTTGTTGGTTAACGGACACATCAATAGATCTTTAACGGTGTTAGAGGCAGAGGTACATTGATAAATTGAAGAGGCATCTAGCCTTTCAAAGTGTGTAGACTCAACTAAATCTCAGTCAAAAAATAAACAAAGTCTTTCTCAATGGTCAAAATTATAAGCAATCAACAAATTGTATAGTTAAAACCAGTGGAGGTCCCATGACTTCAAAGCATGCAATCTATAAATCAATTGCACAAAGCAAACTTTACAACAGATAAAATAAGAAAAGAAGGGAAAAAGAAACCCACTTCTTCCTAGAAGAATCAATTAACTTTTGAAGGCCGTTTGGTTTGAAGTAATCAAATATATTCCTGAGAAGCTGGTAGAAATCCAAAAATATTACTATTTTTGGCAGTAAAATTTGGTAAAAACATTACCTCCAAAACAGTTGTTTATCAGAGATTACCAGTTTTGCTATTCCAGACTGTTTTTTGGACAATTTAACCCTTAATGAAATTTTTTCCAAACATTTTTACCCCTCCCCCATAGTGCAAGGACAACTTTGCCCTTCATACATGGCCATTCATTAGAACATTTTATTTTAAAAATTAAAAATATCCTAATTTGAAAATATTGCCTTTTTCAAAACATTAAAAACAGAAGAAAGAAGAAATTTCAAAATTCGGATTTATTTTTAAATTTTTATTTTTGTACATTTCAAAAATTAAAATTTTAAAATTTTCCCATGAATGAGATTATGCCATATAACAATTTAAAATATATTAGATAAAACTATTTCTCTCTTTATGTAAGTTTTAAAATATGCTACAATTTTTATAATCCAAAATCACACAAACGTGAATTTATTATATATTGATTAATAATGGCTTATCATGGGGGAAAAAGGATGCTAAAAGTTGGATAAAATGTGTTTTAAAAAATATACAATTTTTTTAAGTCCAAGGGCATTTTAGGAAACTTATCAGATTACTATAGTCATTCCCAAAGTATATTACCTTTGAACCAAACACAAACAATCTATTGACCAAACCAAACAACATAACCATTTAATGCCTTCAAATGCCTAGGTTTATTTGATTCCATAACAAGATGCTTGGGAATCCTGTTCCAGTGATAGTATTGCAAATCCTAGACTGAGCAGCCCCTTCAATAGACAACGGAAACTTAATATGCCTAATCATATAACAGGCTACGGTTGGCACCAACAGGACACTCAAATTCGATATACTATGAACTATCTGTTCAATTACATGTTACAAGATGGTCTACTATCTCTACATGAATGCTTTAGGTTCATTAAAGCCATAAAGTCACTAGAACTTTTGTCCACATGGTTAAAAACAGAACATATCTATTTTCCAAAATCATAGCATATGCAGATAAAATAACCATAAAACATTTAAAGATCAAAAGGTCACCTCAATAGTCAAAAACTGTTCTGTAGTATCCACAATCTTTGCTCTGAAGATGTCTACCAGCCACATGACCTAAAAATTAAAGCAAAAATAAAAGACCATGTGCTCAGATGTAGGAAAAGGAAATAGAGTAAAATTCAAAGTTCATAGTAACCATTAAGAGAATGATTTCCAAATTACTTGAGCAAATAATTTAAGTAGTTCATATAGTAACTTAGCTACTCCTAATGGGTGAATACCTGCTTCATAACAATACATTACCTCAGCACGAGTGTCGGCGTCAGCATGAAGCTTTATAAGCATTAATTCACGTTCTACATGTGGTTCCTTGGAGATATCTTCTACCTGTTACATAGGTGAAGTAGATATAGCGAATGGTAGATATTGGTAATTCCAAGAAAACAAATTGCATGTGGGCATTTCCTTCAAAAAAAAAAAAACCATCCAGGTAGAGAGAGTAATTAAATTCTATGCTTGTTGCTGGCAAGGGAAAAATTTGAAAAAAGTTAGTATTAGTTTGAGATGTAGGGAGACTATTCCAAGTTAATGCAAGATATCCCAGGAGGAAATTGTTAAAAAATTAATTAGAGAAATTAAAATTTTAAACCTCTCTATCCCCTCTCTCCCCTTCCCTAGCCCCTGATGGCCAGGCCCAACCCACCCCTCCTCCCCCTTCTCCCTTGCCAAAGAGACTAAAACAGGAAGAAGAAGTAAACAGTAAAAAAATGCAGGGAAGAGTAACAGAAATTGAATTTATGACCTTTATGACATTGACAAGCTTGTTAAGTTGCTCTACGAGTTGTTGCAGAATCATTTCAGTCCCAGATACAACTATGGTAAAGATAGCCTTGTCCTTGTTAAGACCAACAGCAAGGGACTCAATGTTGTAACCCCTCCGAGCAAAGACCCCTGTAATCCTGTTTATTATTCCACTCTCATCTCCAACAAACACCGAAATAGTGTGGCGTTTCACCCTGAAGGAACAAAACTAAATCGACCGTTACAATCACTGCATAAGGTAACATTTTGATAATAAAATCTTAATACAACTTGAAACAAGAAGAAGATCTCAATTAAAGGAAAACTAGTAACCAAAAAAAAAACACTAAGCATCTCCAATTAGTACAGGAAAATCCAATTAAACAGAACCCCAATTGGGAAAAGAAATTTTTTTTTTTTAAAAAAAAGCTACATTTGTGAATTAAAAATGGTTAAAAATCTTAGTATAACATGAACAAATAGCGAAGAAATAGAAATTAAGAAAGTGAAAGACTGACTTGGAAGCAGTTGCGGGAGATACAGTCTCATTGAGAGGCAATGCATTGGCTTTATCAGTAGTGGCAGAGACGACATGCAAGCTCCTTGACCTTGCTTTGAAGCCATTATAATAAATGCTGCATTGCCTCAAATGTAGAAAACCAGTTGTCTTCCTTGAAAATGGGGGGTTTCGGGTGGGAATGTTGGTGGTAGAGTACGGGGAAGGGGAGACTGAAGCAGCCGCCATGTCTGGTTGTTTTGTAAGTTGCTACTGCTTCTGGTTCTTTTATAGAAAGAAACATGTCTGCCTGTGAATTACGTTTCGTTGTCAGCTTCTTGCAACTCGTGATTTCCGTCGTGAATTGAGATAACGCCACCTGGCTGTGATGTAAACTTCACATGAAACGTTTGTGTGGCACCAAGGGGCGAACCATACTCATTTTCTTTGTCTTTGACGTTTACCGATTTGCAAACGTTTTATATATGTTTTTTTTCTTTCCTCCTTCAAAGATTGCGACCTATCTATCCGTTATAGGATAGCAAAACGTTTTATACATGATCGTGTATATCTGTATAAATTGTGGACCCATCATAAATATTATGTGATATAAAATAACATAAGAAATAAAATAAAAATATTATTTTATATTTGGATTACTAAAATAATATAAACTAAAAATTGCCATTACGTTTTATTAGAATGTTTAATTCATAAAAATAATTTTAAAATAATAAAAGAATAAATAAAAAAAGATGATAATATTCTTTATTATAATATATAATTATTTTATTTTATTTTATTTTATATTTTAAATGTTAATATTTTATTTATAATTTAAAATATTATTACAATTAAATTATTAATAATTTTAATTTCTTTTTAAATTTAAAAATATTAATTTTTGATAATATATAATTAAAAATTTAAACTCTTTATTATAATAAGATTTATTTTCATCAAAAACAAAATACTCTTTATGTAATTTAGTAAAATTTATACCAAAAGACAAAATTAAAAAAAAAAAATTTTAAATAATTTATTTTTTATTTTTTTATTTTTTCTCTAATTGCATTTTTCATTTTTAAATTTATATTTTCATTTAATAATTTTAAACATTAGTATTTTAAAATATTAATATTTTATTTATAATTTAAACATTATTATGATTAAAATTTTATAATATTAATCATTTGTAATTTTTTAATTTAAAACACTAATTTTGTAGGTCTAAGTTTTTAATTTTTGAAAGTAAGTAAGGATAGTTTAGCTAAAAATGTTTTGGACCCTATTCCCATGGGTGTGGAATAGCTAATATCATGGGGATGATGGTTATGACTATTTTAAGATTTTGCAAGGTTGCGAGGAATATCCATTTTAAAGAAATGGATATTCTTTCCTCCAAAAACAAACCATGCAAGAGGGAGAAATTTTTTTGAGCAATAGAGAAGGAATGGTTAAACATGCCAGCTGTAGACATCTTAATTTGTCTGAATGTAACAAATTTTAAAAAATAATTAAAAAATATAAAAATTAAGAAAATATAAGAAAAGAGAAGAGATAAATATGAAAGATAAGATATGTTTACACTAATCCTACTTTTAGATTAAGTCTAAAAAAGATTAAGATCGAATCGAAACCCAAAAACTAATTCAAATAGAAATGCAACAGCCTCAAATTAAAAGGGAGGAGGAGAAGAAAAAAGTGAGTTTTTGGAGTTTCTTGAGTTTTGGAATTTTGGATTTTTGTAGATCTAGGAAAATAGGTTTGGTTTCTAAAGAAACTATTTCGATGAAAAAGATGAGAGCACTGAGAGGATTTTTTTGAGAAAATTTGCTAAAATTTCATCGTCGATGAACAATGGCCAACAACGGTGGATGATAGTGGATGATGGCTGGTGATCGGAATTTGGATAAGGGAGAGATTTCTTTTCTTTAGAGGGAGAAGCTCTTAATTAGATAAAAAAGAAGAAGTAGGAAATAAAGGGAAAAAGGGAAAAAGAGCATTTATACTATAAGCAAAACAACGTAGTTTTATTTCAACTAAAGGGAGGAAGTTTTGTAGGTTGAATCTCATCGATCTGGCCCCCTCTTGTTATTTTGGCCCACTTCAATTTATTTGGGTAACTTTGACTCAATAGCTTGGATTTATTTTTGGGTTTCTTAACTCAATTAGGTGAGTTCTTGTATTTTTTTTATTGATTTGTTTTTTCAATATCTTTAATTATTTTTTAATAATTTTTTATTTTTATTTATTTATTTATTTTGATTTTTCAAAATTAGGAGCTAATGTATAATTTATGTAAATTCTCCAATGACAAAACTTCAAGAAAACCAAAAGTGGTTTTTTAAGAATTTTCAAGTGAGAATTTTCCAAAATTTTACCACAACTATTTGGGAGATTTTGGAAAATTTTCCACATCAAGAATTTTTATTTATTTCTAGAAACTAATAAAATAAAATTAGAAAAACAAATGAAATAAAGGATAAAATTATAGAATTAAATAAATAAATTATCCAATGATGAAATCTCAAGAAAACCAAAAGTGGCTTCTTAAGAATTTCTAAGTGAGAATTTTTCAAAATTTTACCATTAGCATTTAGAAGATTTTGAAAAATTTTCAATATCAAGAATTTTTATTTATTTCAAAAAACTAATAAATTAGAATTGGAAAGAAAATAAAATTAAAGTATTGAACTAGATTTTATTTAATAATGTTTAAAAGGATACATAATTGATAGAATACTAATTAAATAGGCGTTGTGGGGTGCTAATACCCTCCTCACACGTAAAGGACTTTCAAACCTAATTTGCTTCGTAGACTAGAACCTATTATTATTAATGAGCCAAAGTTAAGCTTAGGACCTCAAAAAAAAAAGATAGTTTCGCCTTGGTGGTCAATCGCACCTAAACAATAAAGATTGATGACAACTCCTCTTAAGTCGAACAATTGAGTTTCTAGACTCACCACATTATGACACCAATGTGTTTAGTTCGTAGGAAAGAATAGGGTGGGAATGAAATAGCCATTTTATAGGAATAGAATAAGTGATAAATGACTATTATACAGTTTGGTTCATAGGAATGGAATAGGATAGAAATTTCTATTATGAATTTTTCTAATGTTTGGTTGGCAGGAAATAATTTTAGAAATAACTAAATAATAGTGATAAATGACAAAAATACCATTAGTTATAATATTTAATTTTTAAATTAAAATATTTATTTTTAATAATTTGTTAAAAATACTAATAAATTGTTATTTAATTGTTAGTCTAATTATTTATTTTAATTTTCAAAATGTTAGTAATTTATATTTCACGTAAAATATTAATAATTTATAATTAAAACATTAATTTTATTATTTTATTTTATTCTTTATTTTCAAAATACTAAAATATAAAAAATTTATTATTAAAATTTTAATTTAATTTTTATGTTTAAAATATTAACTTTTTATAATTTATAATTGAAACTTAAACCTTTTTGTTTTAAATTCATTTTAATTTTTTCTTCTTTATTTTCTTTTCTTGCTTTCTTATTATAATATTTAATTTTAAATTGAGATATTTATTATTAAAAGGATTAATAAATTGTTATTTAATTTTTAATATGATTATTTATTTTAATTTACAAAATATTAATAATTTACATTTCATTTAAAATATGAATATTTATAATTAAAACATTAAAATTATTATTTTATTTTTCTCTTTATTTTTAAAATATTAAAATATAAAAAATAATTAAAATTTTAATTTAATTTTTAAGTTTAAAATATTAACTTTTTATAATTTCTAAATGAAACCTAAACCTTTTTATTTAAATTCATTTTAATTTTTTCTTTTAATTTTAAATTCATTTTAATTTAATGAGAAAAGGAGAAAGGTAGTTAGGTAAAGAGAGAAAGAAATTGCCAAAAATGAATAAATTGCATTTTATATAGTATGATAATTCTTAAGATTAAAAAAAGACCTTGGTATTAGTTATTCCCTTTATATTTCTGAATGGCCATTCTAAGGAATGGTGATTCTTTCCAACCAAATAAAGTGTTACAGAAGGATTAAGAATACAGGAGAATGGCTAGTCCATTATCTCCAACCAAACATGCTAACCATGACATCTTCCCTTAGCTCTTTTCTAGGAGCTTCTTTTAAATATGAGATTTATGACTCCTCTCTGGGACCATGTATTCTCTTTAATGTGGGATTTAAGGCTCCATACTGGGACGATGACATTTTCCCCCACTTCAATAAAGGCTCGTTGTCCTCAGTGACATATCACTAATACCCCAAAGTTTGCTTTGATACCAACCGTCACGGTTTACACCAACTCTTATGAGGTATTATTCACTTTGACCCATTAGTTTTACATTTTTGTCTTACAAAAAGCACCTCATAGATCAAAGGTTGTGTAAACCCTTAAATGCCTAGTATCACTTTAGTACACAATTGATGTGGGATTCATAGCTCTTTTCTAGGGTCATGACATCCTCTCTTAGCTATCCTTTAGGAACTTATCTTTGATGTGGGATTTATGGTTCTACTCACTAGGAGCATACAATATGTGATTCACATGGATCCCCACTGGGATCATGACATTATTTCCCACTTTAATAAGCAACCACTATCTTTAGTGGCAAATAGCTAGTACCCTTAGAGTTTATTCTTATATCAACTATCATGGTCCACTCTAATCCTTGTGAAGTATTATCTGCTTTGGCTCGTTGGCCTCATGGTTTTGTCCCACAAAAGGTGTAACATAGATTAAAAGTGGTATGAACCATTAAATGCCCAATCTTACTCTAGTGCACAATTGATGTAGGATTCATGGCTTCATTCTAGGACCATGACATCTTCCCTTGGCTTTTCTCTAGGAGTTTTTTTTCGATGTGGGATTTATGGCTTCTCCCTGGGACAGTGTATTCTTTCTAATGTGGGATACTTCAATGTGAGATTTATGACTTCTCACTGGATCATGTATTATCTCTGATGTGGGATGCAAGGCTCCTTGTTAAGATTGTGACATCTTCCCCCACTTTAACAAGGACAAGATTTAAAACTAAATATTAATCATTTTCTTTAAAAAATAAAAAAAAATCTTTATTTATCTCTCAACTATATCGCCTTCTTCTCCTCTTTTTCTATGCATTAACAATATAAATATTACTATTTTTTTAAACAAATAGTAAAAACAATTTTTTCTCTCTTTAGCTCCCTCTCACTTAATCTCATTTTCTTCTTTTCTTGCTCTACTTCCCTTAACAACAAGGAATCCA